TTCAATTTTTGTTTTACGTATTGCGAGGGCGTCAGGGCAATAATTCAAGCTATTGAAACTGCACCATGGTGAAAGTTGATTCCAGTTTTATGTAACACTAAAACTATTTTTCTCTCACTACACTTATAACTGCGAGAATTGCTTCCCGTAAATTCAAATGATCCATATTCGACCCGCAAAAGCAAAACTAATAGTCGATAAAATGGGGCATTAAAGTTGCATTGAGTCTCGCATCGAGTATACTGAGGTGAATAATAAATTAAATCGTTTTGGATGTCTTATTTCCGATTAAAATTTAAACGAAAACTTTTAGGTTATCGTTCTCAAGGAACTAATAAAATGATACAAAGACCTGTCAGTTGCCAATATTATAACCTGGTTGCTATAGAGAATAAATAATTTACTTCTAAGTTGCTTGATTTTTAAAATTGAAATAAGTTAAGAACCCAACCGAGAAAAAACAAACCTTTTTGTGTCACGGCTGGTGAAGCAATAAAGAATACCTTTTTATATTAAAGATGTTTTAAAAAACATGTTCCACCTTATTATGGTACAGCTCTGGAAGTAAAAAGGTGGATGCGTCATATTCGGTTTTTAAACATAAATTCAAAAATATACCCATGCCAATGTTTTTTGTCTTCCATCAACAACTGTTCTTAATAGACATTTGTCTATATGTTTGTGTCGTAACCAATGATTTTTCAGACTTAAATCCAAAACAGCGAAGGAAATTGGACTGTTGGCAACATCGTTCAGCTTTTTTGCGAAATGAACTTTGTTTTGGTTGGTTTGGTAGAGCTTTTAATTTCAATCTTTATTTTTATTTTTTTGTTTTGTTTGTAGTAAAAGCTCACTTAATTACTAGTGCCTTTGGTTAATTTAAATTTGTATAAAAATATTAAAGTATATATGCCCATAAAATGGAAAAATGTATATTTTTCTGGAAACAAAAAATAAAAAATCATTTATTATTCGTAGTTAGGACAGAAAGTAAAATTAGTGCTCAACGTTCATATCCCAAGGAGGGTTTACCAAAAAGTTCGCGGAATTATTTCACTTTTCATAATTGTTTGCATTATTCAAATTTGAAGCCAATTTATGTGAGTAGATCTCTCAAGCAAAATCCTCTACACCATTGAAAATATTTATTTTGTCATAATAAACAATATTTGAATATGAGCCAATTACCATAACCTACTTGCCCAGAGTATACCAACTTCAGTTCTAAATTTAGCAGCAGGTATGGGCAGCAGGGTAATCCAAAGACGAGCACTACTTGGTGCGTATCTTCGCCGTTACGGCCGAAGCAACATCAATAAATTTTACAGTTTTAATTGCGCGCGACAGTTACGATAATCGCCATGTTTTACCTAGATGAAGTAGGAAAAAAGAGAGGCACTTTACACACCTAATTAAATCAGTTAGCGGTGTATCAAATTCTGTTTATTCTGCAGGAGAGAAACCGAAACTGTTGGGCGCTGCGGTCACATTTCTGCGTTACCGCGAGAATTTTACACATTTTTTTTATTTAACGCGTTGGAAGATTTTGAAACTTATTGGAACATCAAAATTTGCCACATTAAAATGATTTTTTTTTGTGGATCGATGAAACAAAATATTTCGGCTTCTCTGGCGATGTTTCGGCCATTTCTTGGGCTACCCTTAGAATACTTGCCAATTGTTTTTGGCCATTTCTTCACATTTTGTTTCCTAGCCGAATTTCTTTGGAACACACTTCTGATTCAGGCAGGTTTGAGTCAAGAATTATTTTTTTTTGTTCTAGTTATTTCTGATTTTATTTTTATCGAATTACGGCAGGTAAATAAATCAAAATCAGCAAGTATCAGCAAAAATTTTACTTTTTTTTTCTGCATAGACATTTCGCAGATCGCTAGAAGTACTTATAGGACACTCGATCTGAATCACCCTATATATTCCTAATAATTTTTATTATTTTATAAAATGTGTACCCGATTTTGTTCACAAATTTTCTTAATGAAGGACAGTTGTTTCGAAATAACCTATTCTAATCTGAATCTCAAGTTTTGGCCATCAGAAGTTATAATACCGAGAAAAATTTAACTTATACCTTCCCATTTTAATAAAATTGTATAGATTGTTTGTTAAGTTTGAAAAAGCAAATTCCGCAACACAGATGTTTTCATTTTATTGACCGATCACCGTTAAACGGATTCGCTAGTATTTTGTTTTTTTTTTCGAGCTTTCCGCGATTCGTGTGCAGTGAAATAATAAAATTTTTTATTCCGTTGGATAATACGATGCTTTTGCAAAAGTTGGGTTCGATCAGCTACGTGTATTTACTGAGGGTGCAACAGAAGCAAAAGGCGATATAAAAGCTTTAATAACGGAACTATTCAGGTGTCAAGTTACAGTAAATATCATGCGACACAACTTTACAAACAATAAGTCTATTATCTAACTAAGAAAAGTTTAAAGTTGAAGAAATTTAAACCTAATGAAAAATTAACTACTTCTAGGTTAAATAAATTATATCAGTGCGTAATTGTTACCATAAATTGCAACCAAGTATATATTTTAAATAGTAGCATAGAAAAAGAAAAAATATGTTCCATCCAATCAACAGATTTGCGTAGGTTTGTAAGAAAAATCTAGCATTTATTTTTCTTATTTTGTATGAACTGTTAATAAATTGGTTATCCTTATACCTTTAGAGATACGTAGTAAATAAGCGACAAATCGTTTGACCATTTTGCTTAAAATGGTCGTGTACTTTGCAAAAAGCATAATTCAGTTGCATTGTTTTTGTCGTTCCGTCGATAAATAAACAATAATTGCTTTACGTTTGAAGGTCACATAACAAAATATTCTCATTACATATCTGAGTTGCACTCGTGGTCTAACATTTAACGAGGTACCAGTGTATCTATTTCACAAATTAAGAAATGTCAAACGAAATGGACTGGTTATATTATAACGCACTTACCGATACGCGAAGTGACCTCAGTTCAACGAGCAAGTATTTATGGCATTTATTTGTCAATATCGTTATCTGCTGGTTCAAGCAGACCCAAATATAGCGAGATATTTTTTTGTGCATACGAAACGTACCACCACATAAAACAATATAATAAAACGTTAATCAGAAATAAATAGGCTTCACTTTGAAACACTTCTGCATTGTCAGAATAGCCATAAAAAGTTCTAGAATAATCAATTTCGACATTTTAGAACGGATATTTAACTGATGGTAAAACTGCCTCATTTACGTTAAGTATTAGTATGAAACAGATAATATCATATCTTGTAGCTGAAATCAGTGGTCACATACAAGAATGTAATTTTTCAAGAGTTGCATTGAATTAAATTGAAAAGGAACCAGAATTCATTGGTTTCAAATGTCTGTCTGGAGGTGTAATTGCTAGCGTTGTATATTGCTCCATTTTTTCGTTATAACACGAAAGATGGTTTGGAAATACACTCTATCATATGAATTATGTCTTCACAATAAGTCCGGCAACACGCAACACAATTATTTTGATTTTCCAAAATTTTGCCATCGCATTTTTCTGCGCACCCGGTATAATGAAACCGACACCCACGTTACTAGCAAGGGCGTGCCTAACAAATTTAAGCGTGTACAAGAGAACCAGCGTTTGGAATCTCGACTAATAACTTATTAGATAATAATGGCTGTCGAACGAATAGTTAAAAACTTTTCCGCACCCGTTGCTTACAAGCGACTCGATGAAACATAATATTTTCTAAGGTGTGTGTCTGTGTGTGTTCCAAGGAAAATGGTGTCGCTTACGTGTTGCTCTTCAGTCACGAAAAGAAAGTTACTATAAATTTCGGTCGTCGCATTTAAAAACTACGAGCAATTTTTTATGAACAAGATGTTTAGAGTTGCGTTTTCGTTAATTTGCTAAAGGGAAACCTTTTTAGAGTGGGTTTTTAAATCTTAGACAAACTTGAAACTATCTGAAACTCCAGTTTATTTTAAAAAGGTTTCTGGTCAGTATAATACAAAAGTTTAATTAAAAATAAAAAACTAACCAAAAAAAATATCTAAAAATTAACATTAAAACAAAAAATCGAAAATAAAAACTAATCAAAATAAACCAAAAACTCATATTAAAAAACATAATGTTAAATAATGTTAAAGTTGGTGTTTTTGATGAGAAAAAATAACATGACTGCCTTTTTTTTGTATGTCGCCGGTAGAGGGCGCCCAAAATATTAAAGCTTTTAGGCAAAAAAAATAATCTCGATACCTGTACCAATATTTTTTGCCTACGATTTTCGTAGATTAATTCGGAAAGAAGTTTCCCATTTGTTCCTCCAGTGTCACTGGCGCTAAAATTTTACACCCTCTCGTAATAAACGCTTCGAAATATTTTGGCGGCGTTTCAAAAACCGCTGCAGGTAACAAAATATTCGGTTAACCAAGGTTTAATATAACTTAAAGGATGTAGTTATTTATACAGAAAAACGTTTTCCAGTGTTTGCGGTTTACAACAGTTAAGATGAAGTGGGTTCTGTTAATTCGAAGGTTAACTCTACTTAAGAGGGATAGAGAACGTTAAATTTTTATGTAGGTATTATAAAAATGCATTTTCAATTAAATTAAAGAGACTTTGAACTTTTGATCAATTTTTTTTTTTAATTGAAAACGGTAAACTTTATGAAAAAAAATACAAGGGACAAAAGGCTATTAAAATTTGATTTTTGCATATCCGTTTTTTCGAAACACCTTTATGCGCGGTTTTGTTATTCGAAGCTGCTCGCGATAATTGAAAAGCACACAACAATCCTCGAGTAATGCAAAATCTAACGAAGATTATCCATTATCCCCGGTACAACGATCGTCGAATGTATTTTTGGAGAAATAAATATTTAGCGTCCCATAAAACGAACGTTTTAAATATTTAAACAGAGACGCGGGTTGCTCCGACGCAAACTAAAATTAAGGTCGACGGGTTTTTTTATTGTTTAAAAATCGTTTCTGTTTAGCATCTTACCAATTCCGCAAGTTTTAACAATCCTGGCGTGGTCTTAAAGTAATCCAAATTAATTTTAATCCAAGATAAGGGCTGGTCGTTCGCTTGGGGTTTATTCGGAGCCGCGTTGTTATTGGGTGCTTCTTGCACGTTAACCACAGTTTCCGTCATCATTGGACGTTAGATCCGCGCGGTTTGTCTCGAAAATTAAGCGGAAAATCGAACCGTTTTGTCCAACACCTGTTATACCACGAATCCGCGGACACGGGAACGACAAATTTCTAGTGCAACGATTGTAAAGCTGCCGCGCGCAATGAGAACTCGACTGCCTGTTCATGGGCTGTTGAAAGGTGGGACACAACGGTGTATTATTTGTATTTGCTTTTGGAGAAGGCTCTGTTAATGGTCGCCGCCGACTTGGTTGGGGGAATCGAGAACGCATCTCGTCGCTGATCATCTGTGTCTTGTCTTAACGTGAACCGAAATAGTAAAACAATCGCATTCAATTTTCCCGTTCGAATTTCCGATTTTTTGGCGGGTACGCCAGAACTGGTCCTTACTTATTTTACTATTACTTATGTTAAGTATTTTTACGGTGAAAAGCGACTATAAACGTCTGTTCTAAAATGCTTCGTCTTCGAGATACGGGGCGTCAGAGTTTTATTTTTACTTTTTTGGGGGTTTTATGACATGAGAAATTTGAATCTGATTAATGCTAAGTTAGCTCTTACTTGTGGCGGACGATACTTACATATTTAGGCAAAAAACGTTGTCTCATTAAAAGCCTAGAAGCTAGAAGCTAGAGTGTTGCGGTTTTCGTGACCCTCACAAATTTGGATATACAAACCAAACTTGTGTTTTTTTAATGTAGCACCCTGTATGTATTTTAATAATTTTAATAGGCAGGTTATGAGCTTTTTAAAAATATGTAACATATGGGAGTGTTTCAGATACGAAGCATATATGTTTAATTTTATTTTCCTTTATCAATACGTCATAGAAAAAAATGTGTCCATTTCCCTAAATATTTCGGATTTACTGCTTACTTACCTCCTCTTCCTTCTGGTATGGCTCACATTAACACAAAATATGAAAATTATAAAAAATTGCTTATAAATGCTTATTTAAATGTGGACACAGACAAGTTTATTTTGACAGGAAAATAACTTTTTTACATAAATTTTGTAATTTACGTAGAGAAATATTCATAGCTTACTCATAAAAAATAAATTAATTAAATAATATATATATATATATATATATATATATATATATATATATATATATATATATATATATATATATATATATATATATATATATATATATATATATATATATATATATATATCTATTAGTGTGTGTTGGTTTTCTATAGACAGTGTGTTCCAAGTGTCCATCTTCGGTCCTTGTGATGTGCACATCTAAAAAGGGCAGACTGTTATCCTCTTCAAGTTCTATTGTAAATTGAATCCTTGGGTGAATGGAATTCAGATGATCTAATTATGGCAAGTTTCGATGTCAAATCCCTCTACCCGAGTATTCCAGTAGAAGAGGCACTCTTGCTTATAGAAGAAAACGAAGATCTTCCGCCATACATAGTGGATCTGTCAAGACATTGCCTGAAAAACGCTTACTTTATGCACAACGGGAAAATTTACAGACAAATAGATGGAGCAGCAATGGGATCATCTCTCTCACCTGTGATTGCCAACCTCTTCATGATTTACTTCGAAAAGAAAGCAATAGAGAAGGCAAATCTGAAGCCAAAACTATGGATAAGATACGTTGATGACGTATTTGTTGTATGGCCTTTTGGCAAGGAGGAGCTTTTGAAATTCCTAGATCATCTGAATTCCATTCACCCAAGGATTCAATTTACAATAGAACTTGAAGAGGATAACAGTCTGCCCTTTTTAGATGTGCACATCACAAGGACCGAAGATGGACACTTGGAACACACTGTCTATAGAAAACCAACACACACTAATAGATATCTGAACGCTAAATCTCATCACCATCCATCACAGATACAGGCAGTGGCAAATACATTAATTGCTCGGTCCTTCAGGCTCACAAACGAGAGGAACAGAGATAAAGAACTGAAGAAAATTAGTACCTGTCTTCAACAAAACGGATACCAAAGGCGCACCATCAGCAAGGCAATCAGTAAACAACAACAGCCGCAGCAGAGAGTGCAGGACGAGACCCAACGAAGATCGATCGCTGTCCTGCCATACATCAAGGGGGTTACTGACAAAATCGGCCGAATATTACGGAAACACGACATATCAACGGCATACAAACCTGATCATACCATCGGAGCAATACTAAGAAACCCAAAACAAAAAATTACTCTGGAAAACCAAGGAGTATACAGTGTAGCATGCGGATCGTGCAGCCTGACGTATGTGGGACAGACCAACAGAAGGATTTCAGCCAGGCTCGAGGAACATCGTTTAGCCATAAGAAACAAACAAACAACATCTGCTTTGTTTCAGCACCAACATCAGACAGGCCATAAAATTGATTTCGGCACTTGCAAACAAATAGCTAATATTCCTGATTTTAGGACTAGGATTATACGAGAGGCCATCGAAATAGAAAAGTCCGGACACCTCAATACAATATATATATATATATATATATATATATATATATATATATATATATATATATATATATATATATATATATATATATATATATATATATATATATATATATATATATATATATATATATATATATATATATATATATATATATATATATATATATATATATATATATATATATTCTCACGTATTGATTCACGGATGGAAAAATGTGATGACACTATACTCCGGGATATCATCCGTTCGCTCGTTGAACTCCGACTGGAATCCTGCAAATCCTGCATCCGACTGGAATCCTGCAGACGTTTCGCCAAAATCTCACTTGGCATCTTCAATGCTCGCGCGCCGAAAACACTTCGAACACTGCAAGATTTGCAGGATTCCAGTCGGATGCAGGATTCCAGTCGGAGTTCAACGAGCGAACGGATGATATCCCGGAATATAGTGTCATCATATATATATATATATATATATATATATATATATATATATATATATATATATATATATATATATATATATATATATATATATATAAGCTTTTAAAAGTGAGAAGTCAACTATAAATAAAACTTTGACACCCTGTAGCTCGAAACACACGTTTATAGTAAGTTTTTACCAAAAAAATATTAGAGAAATAACCCTGTGAAATATTAGACAGTTATTAAATACAACCCTGTATAATTATTAGTTTATCGACTTATCTAATAAATTACCCCACCCTGTATGATATATGTCTATCATAATGATTTTGAGTCATATCAACGTGGTCACAAAATGCTACTCCTATATATGACGCCGCTACATTAAGACAATAGAAATGTCAATAAAGTTATAGGAAAAGTTGATTGAATAAACTAGTCACCCCATAAAAATACATATAATAGTACAGCTCCGTGATATATAAATAAATGGATTCAAACATTATTTTGTGTTTGTTTTACATACAATTTATTAAAATGTGCGGCCTGTCCCCCGTGCTAATTATACCCAATTTAATTTTGAAAGTGATATATTTCTTTTATTTAATTTTATTTAATTTTGAAAGTGAAATATTTCTTTAGAAACCGACATTTTGTTTTATCGGTTCTCGATTATTCATCTGGTTTACGGGCTAATAACTTTTATTTATAAATTGCACCAATTTCAATTGATATTTGGTGGAACGACAAACAACAATTTGGTAGTTTCGATAACACCGGTGATAATATACTGTGAGCATCGCTCATCTAACACCACCACCACATACAACCAACAGCACGCACCATGACAGGAATGTATTATCTAGAAACGAAACACTACGCAAACACAGAACTTTGTGTAGTGGCATCAGTATTTTATTTTTTCTTTTTTTTTTACCTAGATCACTAAACATTAACATTACTGAAAGTAGAACAACCATTCACATTTTTAAAAAAAGTTAATGGACTACAGAGAACTACAGGTAGGCCTCCGTTTACTAGGACATGTAAGACTCAAACAGAAGAACATTATTGAAAACGGATGGCGCATCAGAATATCGAATCAACGAACTTATGAAAGCGCTGCTGAACGTAAACAAACGCGCCCGTTTGAATTACAATCAAAATGTATACACCAACCTTTGATCAGCTCATTCTATCTGTTTAAACAACAATAAAGGATTATCAGGGCCCTTATTATTAGTAAATATTAAACTTTCGAATAACTCATAAAGACACTGAATTGCAAAACTATACCACCAAACGAACAATTTTTTGAAACAATATTAACTAACTCCAAAAATTGCCAATTTTACTTGCAAACTATGGTAATATTTTTTTCCGCGAGAGGTCTCATTGAATTATAAAATCGCCATTACCATTCCGCAACTCCAGGTAAGGTGAGATTTTTGACATACCACCAAACCGACCAAACCTATTCTCTGATAAGAAACGTCAACATTTTGTAGCTTATTGTTTGGAATATTTAAGTTGTAGTAATCAATCATTCTCGACAGTTATTTTTTGTGTTGCTGGAAGCGGAATTGCATGGGATAATTCATAACATATCCTGGGAATTTTAGGATTATCTAGAAGATTAACAATATTCATTATGATGCTTAAAAATGTTTAAACTATGTTAAAAAGGCACCAAACCTCTTACCAGTGGGCATTTGTGTTGCAAATTAACCTACCATTTCTCTTTATCGTGCAAACTATTCACCCATTGCTCCTATTACTTGCAGAATAACTAGAGGTGAGTTTATATTTTTTGTTGGTTAGGATTTGATACTTAAATAAGTTGGCGAAAGTTATAAACATGAAACTATTTTAATATTTTATTAGTTTTGGTAAATTTTATGAATGTGGACTGTTGCAATCTTCAGATTGATCTGTCGTTTGTAGGTTCCTCCTGTCAGAATCCAACAAGTAATGATTATAAGTCAATAAATGTGGAAAGTGTTGCTTTGCTAACGCGTGTTTGTTAAAAATATGGCTTATAAATTCCTGCTCATAGACTTCATCCAAATTCAAGATTCGTAAATGAACTTTGCTTTCTTCTACAGTTAATAATATGCAATTCCAAGGAGACCATTCTATGTCTTTCTTCCATCGCACCAATCTCAATTCGTAAATATCATTGCATTCCGAGAGAGCTGAATGATTATGCCATATATAGTTAATAATAAAATGTATGTCACGATCTTGTAAAATAAAAACTACAGATGACGTACCGTGATGAAGTCTTTCATAATTTCTTATTTGTTTTAAAATGAATTTATGTGGCGATAAATCTATCCAGGGTTCCTCTGCTTTGTTGAGCCATTTGCAGTTAGTACAGGTTTTTAGTTTCTCTAGACGTGCATGAATTGTAAAAGCTTCAATGGGTTTTAATTTGTGACAATTCTGGCAATATACTAAGTCTTTTGTCATATTTTGCAGCTTAACTTTGTTCATATGATTAGTCACCCCTTCATTACATTCAGTTATTTTAAAATGGTGTAAAACTAATGCTTTTATTCTCTTTTCTAATTCTGTTAAAAAAAAAATCGATATACCTCTAACTAACAGCTCGCTGACTCTATTTATAAGACCAATAATTTCAGCACTTTCTGAGCAGTAGTGCTTTTTCAAATATTCTTTTAAATTCCAATAAGTTTGTAGTTTATCCTCAAGTGAATTGTTTTTCTCACAGAGTTGCCTATATAATGTAAAGTACTCTCTCCCCTTCTGGGCCTCCAAAGTATCCATCTGAATATGAATGTGTTTGTATTCACTGTCCCATTCAATAGGTTTACCAATTTGCTTAAAGAAATTAATGACTTTATTAATTTCTAAGTCGTGTTTTACTTTCATTCTAAGCTTCTCAATAGATTGAAGTATTTCAATTTCTCGGTCAAGCAACAAATAAAATTCTGAAATCTTAGCAGCTCCACAATAAAGAGATGTTATTCTTTCAATTTCAGATTTTTTCCAACGGTCCACCATACTATATAGCATTGCGAAATCTGCAGGTTTCATAGGAAACACTTTCTTTACCAAATCTTTTTTCCTTCTTTCTTCATCTTCAAGTCTTTCTGCTTCTATTCGTGCTAATTCAGTGCTTAGTCGTTTGTGGTATTCTTCTCTTAACTGTTTTAAACACTTCCTCATTTTCCATGAATAGTAGTACCTCTGAATGATTCGTATTTTACCTTCAATGTTTAATCTTTTCTCTCGTTCTTCTGCAGTTTCATATGTGCCGGGTGTTAGTATTTTATCACAAATATTTGGTATATAAATCTCTTTATTTGAGACTTGTATTGCTCTTGAATAGTCCTTTTCAGTTGTTCGATTTCGGGTTATATATGTTTGTGTGTCTCTGTGATTCTTCATTTCTGCAGATAGTTTAAGTTTTAATGGGCCAGTCTGAGTGAATCCATGGTGATATTGAATTCCAGTCTGAATATTTCTATACCCCCCCAAGTATGGTTTTTCAATAGCTTGATTTTCAATTTCTACCACAATATCAAACATTCGGTCGTCTTTTTGAATTTTTACGGTTAGAATATCAGGAACTGTTAGGTCCTTATAAGCATTTTCTATATGAATTTTGTAATTTTTATCACCGCTTAGTATCTTAAACTCCAATATTCCATACCGATCAGGCTTAAATTGCTCTAACCGGGTGCCACCATCAATTGCTTCATCTTTATAAAGTAAATTAATAACCTCTGACGGAATTCCAAATAAATTAGATAGATTTCTTTTGATGAAACTGATGTTGTAGAAGCCTGGAAACGATTGTGTGAATACTTTCGCGTCAGTCGTATAAAATTTTACTGTCACTTGGCCCGATAAGTTGTCTCCAGAAGCTTTTTCAATTTTTTCAAAATTTATCTCTGAGATCTGATCTAATATCAGAGAACTATTAGCGCTCATTTTTACGTTTTTGCATTTGCCATGTCATTTATGGACGAAAACTTGTTCAATAATAGGTTTGTTTCTAAGCAACGTCAGTTCTATTGATTTGCCAATCAAATTAAATATTTTGTAAGACAAAAATTGAACGTTTCAGAAAAGAAACTTATGTTTATCACGCACTATCATTTTTTCAAATTTACGGATTAACGCAATTAATAAAAAACTTATTAGTTGTTAGCAATAATGACCTTTATTTTCAGTTTAACTAGTACACAATGTAGTGCAGTGCAATCATCAATAGATGTTGTCATATTTAATGAATTTTCCATCAGTCATACTTTGCATTTTTTTGATTTACTAAATTACAACCTGCTACTTTAGTATTAAAAAAACTGCATATAAGGTTTTTGCTGTTAATGAAATCTTGTTTTACAAGAAGCAAATAGATTGTGATTTATGCTACAAAATTAACTTGTTTTTAAATAACTTAGATTATCTGCTTTTATGTTTACGTTTTGTTATTGGGTCTATAATTGTAGTTTTGGTTAGTTTATTTATAATTCTACTTTTACTTTTTAGAAAATGTGTGAACTCGACTAGTACAATGACAAAGACCAAGGAAAGATATTTACATGACAAACCACTGCACACCATCTTTTATGAACACTCTTCTCATCTGGGTACACTTCTCGAGGGTCTAAATTCTTTAAGGCAGAAGGGCGAACTTTTGGATATCACTTTAGTAATAGAAGGGAGCCTTTTTCAAGCTCACAAAGCAGTCCTTTCGGCATGTAGCGATTATTTTAGAGCCATGTTTACGGACAATATGTTGGAAGCAAGAAAAAATGAGATATGTTTGAATGGTATCACGGCAAAAGGTAAACCAAAAATTAATTTCTTTCTTACACTGAAGGTTTTATGTAATTTTAGGGTTTCACCAACTTCTCGAATATGCTTACACATCACACCTGGCCCTTAATTTAGCAAATGTCCAGGATGTTCTGGAAGCTGCATCCCATGTGCAAATGGTCAATTGCATACAAGCTTGTTCAAACTACCTACAATCTCAAATCGATCTTGATAATTGTGTAGATATAGTCACTATTGCAGAAACTTACTCCTTAGGTCAATTACGAATGAAGGTGAGGTTAACAAACTAAGGCCTCTTATTTTATTAATGTGTTAATATTTTCATTGTTTCTAAGGTGTATCGTTTTATGAGTGGTCACCTACTAGAATTTTCCAACAGCTCAGAGTTTTACAGATTAACGCCTCAACAATTGGAAAATCTTTTAGGCTATGATTTCCCAGTGGATTGTTCTGAAGCTGACGTTTTGAGTATCGTTTTGGCTTGGTTTTTTCATACAGATAAACGCGAGTAAGAAATAAGCTACATTATTTTAGCATGGTTCTGTCAGAAGTTGGTAGCGTTAGGCTTAGAATTTTTTTATGGTCCATGATAAGAGTTCTGGTTATCAATTTGATACTTTCTTGTAGATACGTCAACTGTGGAATTTCCATTTTTTATGTTGATTTGAATTTTAGCATGCAAGGCAAAAATTTACATTTTATAAAGTTAACCTAATTTAAAATTAGTTAAAAGTAAACGCCACATGTCTCAGACCAAAAATTTTAAAAAATGAGGGGCCAAACTGCGAGTCATATTCATTGAAAATTAAAAAATATATACAATAGGCTTGGGGCACCTAAATATAATTGCATTGTTATGGGAGTGCGCTTGGTAGCTCCGAAATAACAATTATTTTTAATAATAATAATAATTTTCAGTTTAAGTTTTAAACCTATTTTCTTTTGCCTATACTTTTGCTTTGCTGTAATGGTTTTGCGATCGAACGAGCGCATATGCGAGTAAGTATGAAATCTTAATTCACTATAGAAACGTATCAAATTTAATGCCTCTGTAAAAATACATAAATAAACCCGAAATGTCTTTCTTTAATTAAGTGTAACTTTCAGATATAGCACACAGCATTCGATCTGGGTAAATTTATTGTTTGAAGCTGGAATTAATAAACCAAACCTTAATTAGAAAGAAGTTACTTGCAATACTGTGTCAGCATCAACAGTTGTAAAGATTTTAGCTAGAAATTGCAATTTCAATTTATGCAGAAAATTGAAAACTATGGCCCTAGTTTCCCATAAAAAAATTAAAAAGTCACCATTTCATTAAATTTTTATCATATGAAGAATATAAAGAACCTAAAAAAAATTCTTAGTGAGAGCTGTTTTACTCGAATTTCTACGAACCAGGCAATCTAAGACGAATTGTATTTTTTTCCATCTTAAAGAAAATAAAATGGAAAAATTTATGTTTGAAACTTTTCGGTTAGCTGCTTGTGTGATGTAATTACTTACTGGGTAAAAAATGATTCAAGTATTGTTTTACCACTTATTTTATTAGACCCAAGTTTTCAGTAAATTAAAATAAGTAAAAATATTATCTTATCTCATTATTACATACATTAAAAATTAAATAAATAGTCTGAAAAACGGTACGTTGCCTTTAATATATAATACATAATAATATTTAATGTTTTATATAACATATAAGATATATATATTTATTTTTTTTTAAGTATTATTGAGTGTTGTCCTTGAATTTTATCCAATTATTTTTGATCAAGTAGCTAGTAAGTCTAGCCATAGAAGCTTTCAGAATTGGTTGGTAATTTGCTTTTACATTTGTTTGTCTATTTCAGCGTAGATTATAGATTAACGTACGCAGTCAGAATAATGAAATATATCCACTTTAAGGAGATCACTAAACGGAAATTGGACAGTATCCTAGAAAAAATATTGGAGGAACGTAATTATGAATGGCAGATATTGTATAGAATAATTCTGCAACAGGTATATGTCCAGTCGAATACGGGCAAAACGATGGACATGCGTTTGAATTTGCTCAATTCTCGGGGAATGGAAATGGCTGTTTTGAAAATTGGCGGTTTCGGAATTAGCGGTATTACGAACGAAATAACGTACTGCTTCGCGAGTAAAAGAAAATGGAAACATTTGACTTCTATACCCCACGTAGAGCAGTGCAATTACGGAACGGCTGTATTCAACAATGAACTTTATATAGTGGGTGGATGTTTCAATCAGTCATTACAAGAGAATATACACCCCTTTGGTTTTAAATACAGCCCGAGGTAAGCTACTTTATATAATAAAATTGTGTATTAAATTTATTATTTATTTAGTTTTATTAGATTAGCAAAAGAAAAGTGAATAGTAAAGGTAGATATAAATTATATAATGTATACTTAAATTCTTAATGCGACTTTAACAATGACAGGGGTGATTAAACAGGGTGGACAACCTAAAGGTTATATTGTAAAATAGTACAACTAGTTTTATAAAAAAACTGATATGGCATGAAAATTCCACTTTACATTTTGAGCAGTATACACATCATCAAGCCGTCATATCACATTTTAACAAAACAAAGTGCGCGTTGACGTCTAATGCGGGATATAAAGGCAGGTTTATGCAAACCTTTTGAGTAATAAAAATTAATACGCATATTTTTAAGAGTTCAGTGTTTTTTCCTTGGGGGTATGGAATGATTCACTTTGGTTATTTCCTCAACTGTTTTAATGGTGTCAGAGCGCGTGTTTTTATTGTATTACCATTGCGTGAGCTATTGTATTATTAAATCTATTTTTATTACTAAAAGCTCTTGCCTTTAAGAGACGTCCTCCTTGGTAAATTTGTAAAAACATTTTACACTTTTTGGAAGACTGAAAAATCTTTCCATCGGGAAATACGACTCTTCCAAAACTGCTGTTCTTGCTGTGCTTGCTTCTGTTAAGGAGTAAGTGCTTTTTTTTGACAAACTGTGGTGGAACTGATCTGTTTGTCAACCAGATCCCTTTTTACTTTCAAACGTTTCTTCTTATCTCCACCGGAAAAACGGTACCGTTGATAAGGACCAACTATCTTCTAACTTCGCCACAATTCTCGGTTTTAACTGTCTGCTCGTGTGTGTAGCCATTTTAGGCAATGATCAAATTAAAAATATTTTCTTAAAATACGCGGTGGTGCCATGTTTCGCAAAGTGATACTTCTTTCAATTCTATTAAATGAGACACCCTATATATTATTGGATTTTCGAATACCCACATTAATAGCAATTTCAATTATATATCATAGTACGGGTCTCTGACTTATCGTTTTGGCTTAATTGGCAGATAAAATTAATATTAATATTAGCTCCTTATCAACTTGTTCATAACCGTTTTAGAGCATTGTTAAGAAGTCTTCTTAAAAACAGAATATGAAGCTTTGCACAATATTGCCAAATTTCTCAAATTACTTATTTCTAACACTAACTACCAATGCTTATTACTTACAAATAAAATTAATTAAATTAGTTTTTCAATATGTCCGGCGTTTTAAAGAATACAAGTAATATATGCTATTTCTAAACGGTATAAGGCATTTGACACGTAATTAGTTTCATTCAGTGCGAAATCGTTGCTGCGATTCCAAAATTGTTGACGGTTTATCTTTGTAAACCATATCTTTCAATTTGCCCCACAAAAAAAATCCATAAAATATGGGTCCTAAGATTCTAGATCTCCAGATTGCACACCATACTTTCACGGATCTTCGCCACTGCTTGTTTACTTCAAAAACACATTTTTTGTTTTCTGGACTCCAATAATGCGTATTTTTTCTATTAAATAACACCGCAGATGTTGTAAATATTGATTCATCGGTCCAAATTATATGTTCTCTAAAAAAAAAAAAAATTATCTTCAAGGTTTTAAGAAGGGAGAGTTAAAAAATCGAATGAAATTAAATATTCAAAAAACAGATTCCCATACAAATCACATTTTTTTCTATTTTTACGCAATGTAGGTATAATAAATGGTCTACGATGTCCCCTATGAAAATTGAAAGATGCCGATTTAGTTTGAATGTTGTCGGTGATATGCTGTACGCGGTTGGGGGCACCAGCGAGGGTGATGAAAATGTTACGTGTACCTGTGAATGCTACAATCCCAGGTAAGCAACGCATTATTTGAAGTGATGGTTGTGAATTTTAGTATTTTATATTATATTAGATTAGATTTGTGGTACACTATACCGGACATGCCAGCCCACCTAAGCCAACACGCGGGTGTCAGTTCTGGTTGTCGATTATTCATAAGCGGTGGGATAGATAGAGATAATATTTGCAACTCAAGCGTTTATTGTTACGATGTAAATTTAGAAAATTGGAAAACGTGCGCTTCAATGCTACAACCTCGAGCTGATCATGTTATGCTATCCATTGGAAAGTATTTGTACGTTTGCGGCGGCTGGACAGAGGACATAGAAATGCGTTCGCGATTACTAGTGGACACTATAGATGTTTACGATACGGAGAAGGACACTTGGGAAGTAAGAGAATTTATAAGTGGCATTATTTTTACAAGGCAATATCTTTTTTTTTTTTGAGAAATTTTTTCGAAATTGCACTTTATCGAGTCTTTGTCTTGCAGATACTAACTAAAGTTCCTACACCGCGTTATCACGCAGGTATCGTCTGCGTAGAAAATAAGATTTACTTTGTCGGAGGATTTCATAGCGACGCGGTTTTCGATAAAGATACCGCAGCCATAGAATATTACAATATTGAAAATAACATGTGGACAATAGAAGAAAAATATCCACAAGACATTTGGGAACACACGTGCGCTACCTTGTATATTCCCAAGTGCCGAGATGATATGGAAGTAATACCAACTACTGAGAGCTCAGTGTGATTTAACGTTTTACCAAATTCATTCCTGTTAGTAAGAGATTATTGAAGTTATGCTAAATGTATTTTTGGGAAATAAAGAATATTTTTGTACTTTGGATGGGATGAGTTTATGTTTATCAAATGCTCAGTTTAAGATTTCCAAAAAATGTAAGGTGAAAAGGGAAGAGTTGAGATGAGTAATGCCCAGGAAATATATTTTTGAATTAAATTATTAATAGTTTGTAGTTTTTTCTCTTAAAAAATAATTCCTTTTTGTTTGGCAGGAACAGATCCAGTTATACATCTTCATATTAAAACTCCTTATATCCCTCCCCCTCCAACTAGTGAAAGTTTAGTGTGATTTAACATTTTACCAAATTCATTCCTCTTAGTAAGAGGATATAGAAGCTATGATAAATGTATTTTTGGGAAATAAAGAATATTTTTATAGTTTGGATAGGGTGAGTTTATGTTTAAAAATTGCTCAGTTATAGATTTCCAAAAAATCAAAGGTGAAAAAGTAGGAGTTGTAATCAGTAATGTGCGGACATATATATTTAAATTAAATTATTAATAATAAAAATTATTAAACTTATTACTTTAAAAAAGTAGGTTACACAATTAAAGTTGAAACTACCATGTTTTGTTTGTCATTATGCTAAGAAACTTATATAAATTAATTTGTTCAAAGAAACTTCCACAGGCAACTGTAATACTTTTTACAAAACTTTTGGATTCCTCCTGCGTCCATTTTTGCTGAGTCAAACTTGCTGACGTTTCGCCAAGCATGCTGTTGGCTTCTTCAGACCTTGTTATTTTCATAGTTTATTACAAAATTAAAATAATTCAAGATATGTACTTAAGAATGTTGAAGATAGCGTCAGTGTGCGATACGGCGCCACCATGATTGTAGACCTCAATTTTTACAATTGAAAAAAGTGAAACATTTTGTTTCTTCGATATTGTTTATTGTCGAGAAAATAAAACTTTCTAGATAAAACAAAAAGTAATAATTAATTGACTGAAGTATTGCTTCATTTATTGATAACTCGTTTAATTTGAAATTATTTTTTATAAAAGAAACTAATTGTTAGTAGTTAAACTTTTAGGTTTGGTCAATAATTCAAATAGGAATGCCTCGGTGTGTGTGCGTGAAAAAGTAATCACTGTATGGAATGGAACCAAGAGATTATTCTTAGCCTCTAAGCCTCTGCAAACAACATTTAATCAAATAAACTTATTAATGTTTTGGTATTATTTCTTTTGTGAGTTATGGTAATAATAAAACCCAGTTGTTTTTTTCATCAATTTTTGTCAACATTTCATACTTTTTTTATTTACAAAATACGACTCTTTACTTACTACTACTTAAATACTAAATTGATTTCCTATTTTAAAGATATATTACTAATTTCCTTTACTAAATCCATATGATCAAAAGTATCAGGGTGGTGGGTAAAGGTATCCAACAACTTCTGTTTCTGTTTATCATCCTGAGTATAATACAACTGTAACTGGTTAGCAAGACACTGTGCTTCTTTTGCATTTATAATGTTTTTATCATATTCACCCCTCATTAAAACAATTCCTTTACTTTCTTTAAAATCTTCGTAATGGGTGATTGTTAAACATTCTGGTGCATTTTCATTATGGACTTGGTAGTACAGCAAAGGAGTGAAATGTGCTGTCCTCTTCTCGAACTGCAACATTATAAACTCATAGCCCTGAGTTCTGGGCAATGGAAACAAAAACATTGGGTATTTTACACAATTTTCTTCCAGTGTTTTGAAGTTCTCTGATGGTATAACAGCAGCAATGCAATTCTTTGTCTGATGGTACTCTTCCCATATCTCTTTAATTTCTTCCTTCGACTTGTTTTTTATTAAATCAACCTTCATTATTTTATCTAGGTGTTCCTCTTGCGTCTGAGATACTTCTGGTGCCAGCTTCTTTTTTGGATTCAAGAGTTGGGAGAACTGTTGTCCCTTTATCTCCTCTAGCTTCTTAGTTTTTGATTTACCCATGTCAACAACTCTGGAACTAAATTCTTCCGGGGCATTTTTTTGCAACTCTGTTATCTTCTCCGCGTATTTTTCGTAATAGGGATTGCCTTTCAAATCCTCTAAAATTTCTTGCAATTTTCTGGGAGTTGTCATGATGTTTTTCTGCGTTAATTTCTTAGACAGTGCGAATGATCCCCTATATAAGACTGATCTCATAAATGAAGTAAGATGCATTTCTTATGCTTTGTGAATGTTTAATTTTTGTTTATTAAACATTACATCATAAATACATAATTATTTGGGACGTTTTTTCTTTAATTTACTGCTATTGGTCACGACTGCTAAGATTATTTTAACTTAACCTCATTTCTGCGTCATTAAAAAAAGAAGAAAAATATCTAGCGACCTCTAAAATTAATAGTTAAACTCGGTACCGGGGATATGTGAATCCATTAAAGAGATCTGGTTATAGATTGATATTTTGCAAATAAGCAGTTCTCTTTAAAGTCATCGTCTTTTATGAGGTTTGATAAAATTCCGATAGATGTCGGGTTTGGAAATCGTCACCGTTGACACTTGGCCTGCGCTTTGCTAACGTCCGAATTGACAGTAAGGTGAGTAGTGCCGAGTAAAATTTCGTTTTGGCAGTGCGTTAGTTTCATAAGTTTAAGACGTTTGTTCGGTAGAAGTGATAGTGTTTACTTCCACCTTTGGATATTCAGACATTTGCCGAAGTTTCTATTGACCGAACGTTATTGAATCAATAAATGCGTAATTGTTTAAAGTGGAAGTTATCTTGGATTGCAGTGTTCGGGAATATCATACTTAACTGCATCTGCAATTTTTGTGGCGATAAGTGTGTTGGTATCCCTTCGGGTATCCTCAATGTGAAGATGTTACATTATTATTCGTCATAATTAGGAGTACAATTATTGTTCAATTTAGTTCTAAGTGAAACTGAAAATTTTGCTTTGCCAGGAGGGTGCTAGAAAAATTATGTTCTGATGGAAGAAAATTATTGTGTGAATACTTCCCCGTTTTCGACAATACCAGTAGTGCTTTTACGAGATAGGATTAGTTTGTTTAAACTATAATGTCGGGAAATCACATGAATAACGAACAGGAACATAAATCGCCCAGGGAAAGTGGCGAAGATTCAGAAGACGAAAGCGAAATTCTAGAGGAAAGTCCTTGTGGTAGATGGTTAAAACGACGCGAAGAGGTGAGCAAGTTTATTTTCATTCACAGATTTGTCTCGCATGTAATTTTTTTTCGCACGGTATTAACATTACGAGATTATCAAACTCTAACCTAACATCATTTCGCCGGCAACCATTTTGCAAAAAACGGAGTTATCCGCATGTCCTGACGTCACGAAATCGATTGCCTCTCGGATTGCCAACAATAATTGTCGCCTGGCGCCTGCTGACGAAATTTTCGCCGAGGCGGAAAAAAAAATTGCGGTCACACAGATTCCGATCATGTTTCAACGTGAATTGATATTCGCGACGAAATAACAATCTTTCGTTCACCACGGGTACCCGTGTTTAACTTAAAAGGCATAGCAACATTCCTACTAAGTTATTTTTAGATCCGTACAAGAACTATGACCTTCTGGATATACCGGTTTGCCACATGTTTTTAAGCTCGCTTTTTTCAAGTGTCGATTACTCTTAAAGTTTATATACAAATTCCAAAAACTAAACCCCGCGTGTCGTTGATGTATAAAATTAGACATCAAATTAATGTTGGCAGTATTTTTTCTCTCAGTGGTAAGTATTTATAATGGTAGTGCCAGGATAATTTTCAACAAGAAGAAAGACAAAGCAATACAAACAATCTAATGTAAAGTTGGCATTTGTAAAATTAATGTTATGTAATGAACTAGATAATGAATATAAAAAAGTAGTAAAGTTAATTTGTCTGTATACCTACTGTGGTTTATGGTCCGTGACCTTAGTTTTGTAAAGGCCATGAACAATGGATATATACATTCTGTGTTTGAAGTTAAGGACATGTACAATGTAATGGTGGCAACAAATTATGCAAAGACAATTTATAAATAATAGCGCCATAGTGACCAGTTGTGTTATTTCTGGATGCAACCAATATTAGACAGGTACCACTCCATTGAATAGGAATAATTATCAATTTACAAATAAAATCTTGAATTATTTTATGGTAACTGATTTGTGTGGCATATTTGCGAAATATTTAGGTTAGAATGCATTCATTTTATTTTTAATTCGGGAGCCTCGCTCTTGTTTATAGAGGCTCTTCGGGCATTTAAATAGGATAATGCCGGATAATGGTACTTAAGTGCTAACCTTGTGAACTAGCTGGTGGACATTAAATAGCAAATGACACTTTGGAACTCGTTTCTAAGAAATACTTAAAATACTTGGAAAATTTCATTTTTTTCGAAACGAGTTGGTTTTGCAGATCGAAATATACATTGAAGTCGTCGATAAATTCGAGATTGCAAAGAATTCTTCGAGATTAGTTTCAGGTAATTGATACTACGTTGGATATTACTGAGGATATTGCGTAAAGAAAATGAAATTTACTTTTTTTTAACAGTATCTCCATTATTCTACTATCTCTGGCGTAGCCTTAGCATATTGTTGTATGATACAATCGTTTAAATGTCAATTTCAATTGTTAATTTTTTGGCCGTAATGGTTTTTGCGAATGATTCTATTGCGATGGGAGCTAGACATTTTATTTATAGGTTCACTATTATCACTTGGAATGGTGTTCTTAGCTCTCCATCTTTAGTTTATTTTTATCGATGTGGAAGATCTTAGTAGGCTGTCTGTAGTTCGTACAAGATTTAAAAAAGCAGAGTCAGGTTTTCAGTTTAAAGTCGATATAAAACAATAGACAGTAGAGAATTCATTTTGGTTAGTGATTATTGCTTGGGTTATTCGTACTGAACAGGACAGGGAATTAAAGTCTGTTCATAGATATAAGAAAGCGAAACTGATACGAATTAAGGAAAGACCCGGGCAAGCTGTAAGAATGAAACATGGCCGAACAGGTACGTACTTTGCTTAGAATTTAATTATTTGGGGTTTTGTTAGGATAGATACTAAACAATATTTATTTATTTATGTATGTATTTATGTTTAAATCTAAAATAAAATTACAAATTATTTTTATTACCTACTTAACCAGGTTTCATCCAAGTAAATAATTGGCTTTAGTTGTTCTCTGTAAATCATAATTTTTTTCTAGATATTCCAGTCGCCCTTTCCGAATTCTAAAAGATTCCATTAAAACTTGCCTTTTGTCAATTTTTTTAAATCTAAAACCCATGTGTTGAATACATAAGGTAGTTCTGCCACATTTAACACTGGTTTCATCTTTTTCAAGCCTCCTAATTAAGATATCTAATGTAGGCACGCTTTGTTCCTCGTATAACTGGTAAATTTTACGCCCTATTATATCTTGATCACTTTCATCTACACTCGAGAAAATGTCAGCATCGCTTCTTTTTTTCCTCGCTGAAATGGGATTGTTGATGTTGGAATGTGGCCGTTTCTTCTAAAGATGCTTACTTGCTGGCACCACGTTCAATGAGAGTCAAATAAAGATTGTTTATAACTTCCTTAGTCTCGATAGAATAGTGTTTTCTACATTTGGGTGGAGCATCTCCTGACATACACTAGACTCGCACATATTTTGCATAATTCGCACACGATTACGATTATTGTATTATTGTATTACACACACGAAATAAGAATGATTATAAACTTAAACTAAGTAGTATACCAAACCAAAGAATATTAAACACAGGTATTTCTATTACGAACCACAATTTTACCTAAATTTAAATTCCGAAACTTTAGGTATAATCTTGTTGAATTGTATGTTAATGACCACCCTTGGATAATCCCATTCGAAAGCAATTGGTCACTTTCTTATATTTATGAACAGACCATACCATGTAACTTTGCCGTTTTATCTCTCCTTCAACAAACTCTTTCTGTGGTACGCCAGACGCATTCGGTCGAGTTCAATTTTTTTTCACACCGTTTGTTTGAAATAGCTTTGGCGCGTCTATTTTTGTTGAGGCGTCGGCGCCCCTTATCGATGAAAACTTAGGATAAACTTTTCGTGCCTTTTCTTCCAAATTCCTCTTTGAAAATATTTAAAGCCGAAAAATGGGGATGAACATCCACGATTCCGTCTCTTATATTTTCGGTCCTTCGCCAAATCTAGAACTAGGTATAGAATTGAATAATATTGTACGAGGGCTCTAATTTTTGTTTTTTCTTTCTTTCATTTATGAAAAGGTTGTGTTTATTGAAATTTTACATTAAAAAAATTATCTGGGATACAGTTTTTTCGAGGTTTTTTAATTTGCTTGGTGCGCTTTGTAGCCAATAAAGAAATTTTGTTTCACAAAACTGAATTTTGAAGAACCCAAGAATAAATTGATTTCTTTTACCTTTGTCATATTTTTTGCTTTCCTTGTAAGTGTTCACTCCGCTATCTTCGATATTTTGTCGATGAAATACATATCCGAGAAATAAGTTTTTTTTTCTGACCAAGATTCTCCAAAATTAGTAGTGTGAGTTGGCGCGTTTATTGGAGTGGGCGCGTAACCAATGAGTCACTTTGTCCCTCTTAGTCATTTTATCTCATAACTCGCAAAAAATGTCGCTGTATGCACAATTTCAGACCTCAGTGGAAATTAAAAAATTACCTAATATGGTTCCGCTTGTTTTGCAAAAAATAATATACCCAAAAAAGCAAGGGAGACCAAACAGACGACCCTGTTTTTATGAAAAAAGCAAACATTTTGCATTCCCTCTTTTGGTATTAAGGATTTAAAATGGGTTTTGAGCTGGCTTTAAGAAAAAAAATCTTGTTTTTCAGCCCACCAATCACTCTTTTTACGTATTTGTTCATTCTAAACTTCGCACCATTGAATCTTCAAGATTAGTTTCATTATTTCAGAAATAACATTATGATAAACAATTTTATTTAAATTTTAAATTCTGGCATGTACGGAGCGTTTTAAGAAAAAACAGTTTTATACTCAATATTTGTCAAAATTTGTGGAAATTACCTTCAACACTATTAGGAGTCTATCTAAGTCAATGCACAGCCTCATCTTTTGTCAGCATCTTTATCTCAGTTATTAAATAAAATGCAGAATTTAATGTTCAACGAATGAGTTTGCCAGATTATGAGTTTGATAATGCGAGACCACATAGTGCATGAATAGTACAATCATTTCATTGATCTTGGGCTGACCTCCATGCATTCCGGATCTTAACCCAATAGAACATTTCTATTCATCTATCTATCTATTTAGCTTCTTCCGTCCAATATTGAACATAGACCTCCCCTAATTGTCTCTATTCTTCTTGATCCCTTGCTATGTTTATCCATCTCGGACCCGCAATTTTCGTAATGTCCTCTATCCACCGTATATGCGGTCTTTGTCTTTCTCATTTATTTTTCCTTGGTCTCCATTGTATGATCACCTCCTTGCACCTTTCATTATTATATCTAATATTGTGTCCCCCAAGTTTCCATTTTAGCTTAAATATTTCCGAACTGTGTTGGTGGAATCTAAACTTTCAATTTTCTTAATTATTGTCAATTTTTTTTATTAAATGTTTTAAATATGCCTTGATCTATAAAGAAAATTGTTAAGTTCAAAATAAATAAGTTTGCACTTGCTTCTGGTATAACTGCAAGTGCCGATATTCTAAAAATATCACACGGACGAGACCCACCGCTTACAGTATAACCTCAAATTTTCAAATTATTGTTAGGTATAGTTATAGTTCCCGCTGAGACACGCCGTATGTAATGTGATAATTTTTGTATGATGTATTTTCTTTACTTATTTAACATCTAAACTAAATAAGATTTCAAGTTCTCAAGAGAAAGAAAGAAATTAAGAAACAAAATTTTTATATCTGTTGTAAATTTATAGATTTATTTATTAGTGTATTTTTTTATTAAACAATTATTTTTTATTTTAATACAGACACTACGTATTTTTTGAAAAAAGGTTTTAAAATAAGCTATTTTTTATATATTTTTAATTTAACAAACTTTTAATTTACTAATTATTTTTCAAAATTAGTCAAATTCGCACCATTATTTAAAAATTCATATTATGTTTATGAAATCCGTGAAATCTGAAATGGAATTGAGGTGGCTTTTACTTGATGAAAATCCATTTAACAAGATAAATAA